TTAATAATCTTTGATTATAAATGCATCCTTTGCTTTTTTATTTGATTATAGTATTTTATTTATTAACACTGGTAACTATGGACTTCCTGACTAGTGTACATGACGATGTCTTTCACTTTGTGTACCCCAAGGAGTACCATAAAACCGTGAACCTTTAGTAATAATAGATAATAACCTAATATTTATTTGCCAAAGTTTCGGTCAGTATTTTGAATACATCAAATCATTTAAAAATAGATGAAAAGTACAGGGGAGTATATATATATATATATATATATATATATATATATATATATATATATATATAGCTTAAATCATGTATGCTAAGATATCCCGTAGTTTACAAAATCTAATCTAATTATTCTTACGAGTGCAACCAATTCCAAACGCCACAACCACAGTTTCATTACGATATAAATAAATTAGCCTTGCAACATGAGAAAAGAGTGTTATAACTAAGACTTATCCGATGGTGTTCATAAATTTCCGAGGAGTGGAATTACGCCATGCCTTTATTAGCCACCTTGTTGCCGCCTTTGAACAACACAGAATAAATTTCTTCATAGACAAAGATGAACAAAAGGGAAGAGACCTAAAACACCTCTTCAAAAGGATCAAAGAATCGCATATTGCGCTAGCAATCTTTTCGAGGAGATATGCACAGTCTAAATGGTGCTTAAACGAGCTGGTGAAGATAAAGAAACTCGCAGACAATAAAAAACTCAAAGTGGTTCCAATTTTCTATAAGGTGAAGGTAGGCGATGTGAGACACCAGAAGGGAGAATTTGGTCGCAACTTTTGGAAGTTGGCAAAGGCTTCAACTGGCGAGGAGATCAAGAAATGGAAGGAAGCATTGGAATTCGTTTCATCAAAGATGGGTTTACCTTTAGGAAACAAGAGGTACTCTTCATGATCTTCCATTCTTTTTATGAAAGTTTTAAGTGAACAGAACCGCATTTGTGTATGTGGGAAGTAATATTTTGTGCACACACATGGCATAGCCTTGAAAAATAAACAGTCGCCTCTCTTGTGTGTCGTCCTTACAATTTTCTATTGCTGCCTTGGTAATTTGCATTGCTATTTCGTGGAAATCATGTTTACAAAACGATGCACAATTTTTCTTCAATGATTTTTAATAATTATAATTAATTTGACGTGTGTTATGAATTATTCACTTGTTTTATTGAAAAATTGGATAAAAACTCTCACTTTTTCTAAAACAAATTCAAAACTCTGAATATTTTTTGGATTTTAAATACCCACCTTATAGTAACAGGTAAAATAATTCCTAATATCAATAAACCCAACATAAATTCAAATCGGTATATTCATAAATAGATATTAAACATTTTGGTTTAGGAGTT